GACCCTTGGGGCACTCCGCTTGAAACCGGTTGCCAACTAGACATGGAGCCATTGATCACTACCCGTTGAGCCCGACGATCTAGCCAGCTTTCTATCCACCTTACAGTCCATTCATCCAGCCCATACTTCTTTAACTTGGCAGCAAGAATACTGTGGGAGACCGTATCAAAAGCTTTGCTAAAGTCAAGGAATAACACATCCACTGCTTTCCCCTCATCCACAGAGCCAGTTATCTCATCATAGAAGGCAATTAGGTTAGTCAGGCACGACTTCCCCTTGGTGAATCCATGCTGACTGTTCCTGATCACTTTCCTCTCCTCTAAGTGTTTCATAATTGATTCCTTGAGGACCTGCTCCATGATTTTTCCAGGGACTGAGGTAAGGCTGACAGGCCTGTAGTTCCCCGGATCCTCCTTCTTCCCTTTTTTAAAGATGGGCACTACATTAGCCTTTTTCCAGTCATCCGGGACCTCCCCCGATCACCATGAGTTTTCAAAAATAATGGCTAATGGCTCTGCAATCTCATCCGCCAACTCCTTTAGCACCCTCGGATGCAGCGCATCCGGCCCCATGGACTTGTGCACGTCCAGTTTTTCTAAATAGTCCTGAACCACTTCTTTCTCCACAGAGGGCTGGTCACCTTCTCCCCATATTGTGCTGCCCAGTACAGCGGTCTGGGAGCTGACGTTGTTCGTGAAGACAGAGGCAAAAAAATCATTGAGTACATTAGCTTTTTCCACATCCTCGGTCACTAGGTTGCCTCCCTCATTCAGTAAGGGGCCCACACTTTCCTTGACTTTCTTCTTGTTGCTAACATACCTGAAGAAACCCTTCTTGTTACTCTTAACATCTCTTGCTAGCTGCAACTCCAAGTGAGATTTGGCCTTCCTGATTTCACTCCTGCATGCCTGAGCAATATTTTTATACTCCTCCCTGGTCATTTGTACAGTCTTCCACTTCTTGTAAGCTTCTTTTTTGCGTTTAAGATCAGCAAGGATTTCACTGTTTAGCCAAGCTGGTCGCCTGCCATATTTACTATTCTTTCTACACATCGGGATGGTTTGTTCCTGCAACCGCAATAAGGATTCTTTAAAATACAGCCAGCTCTCCTGGACCCCTTTGCCCTTCATGTTATTCTCCCAGGGGATCCTGCCCATCTGTTCCCTGAGGGAGTCAAAGTCTGCTTTTCTGAAGTCCAGGGTCCATATTCTGCTGCTCTCCTTTCTTCCTTGTGTCAGGATCCTGAACTCGACCATCTCATGGTCACTGCCTCCCAGGTTCCCATCCACTTTTGCTTCCCCTACTAATTCTTCCCTGTTTGTGAGCAGCAGGTCAAGAAAAGCTCTGCCCCTAGTTGGTTCCTCCAGCACTTGCACCAGGAAATTGTCCCCTACACTTTCCAAAAACTTCCTGGATTGTCTGTGCACCGTTGTATTGCTCTCCCAGCAGATATCAGGGTGATTAAAGTCTCCCATGGGAACCAGGGCCTGCGATCTAGCAACTTCTGCTAGTTGCCAGAAGAAAGCCTCGTCCACCTCATCCCCCTGGTCTGGTGGTCTATAGCAGACTCCGACCACGACATCACCCTTGTTGCTCACACTTCTCAACTTTATCCAGAGACACTCAGGTTTTTCTGCAGTTTCATACCGGAGCTCTGAGCAGTCATACTCCTCTCTTACATACAACGCAACTCCCCCACCTTTTCTGCCCTGCCTGTCCTTCCTGAACAGTTTATATCCATCCATGATAGTACTCCAGTCATGTGAGTTATCCCACCAAGTCTCTGTTATTCCAATTGCATCATAGTTCCCTGACTGTGCCAGGACTTCCAGTTCTCCCTGCTTGTTTCCCAGGCTTCTTGCATTTGTGTATAGTTTCCCAGGCTTCTTGCATTTGTGTATACAATACTCCAGTTGACGCCTTATCAGTACTGAGTAGAGTGGAAGAATTACTTATTCTGTCTTTCTTACAACACTGCTACTAATACATCCCAGAATGATGTTCACTTTTTTTGCAACTATTACTTTGTTGGCTCATATTTAGTTACTGATCCACTATAATCCCCAGATCTTTTCCTGCAGTACTCCTTCCTAGGCAGTCATTTCCCATTTTGTATGTGTGCAACTGATTGTTCCTTCCTAAGTGGAGTACTTTGCATTTGTCCTTATTGAATTGCATCCTATTTATTTTAGACCATTTCTCCAGTTTGTCCAGATCATTTTGAATTCTAATTCTGTCCTCCAAAGTGCATGCAACCCAGCTTGGTATCATCCACAGATTTAAATATATTCTCTGTGCCATTATCCAAATCATTTATGAAGCTATTGAATAGAGTAAGACCCAGGACAGATCTCTGTGGGACCTCAGCTTGACTGTGAACCATTGACAACTACTCTCTGAGTATGGTTTTCCAATCAGTTATGCATCCAGTTTATAGTAGGCTCGTCTAGGCTCTCTCCCTAGTTTGTTTATGAGAAGCTCATGCGAGACAGTATCAAAAGCCTTACTAAAATCAAGATATATCATATCTACTGCTTCCTCCCATCCACAAGGCTTGTTACCCTGTCAAAGAAGGTGTGACAGTCTGTACCCTTATGTTCACCACTTTTACAAGACTATGATACATTTTGTACAAAATATGACTTGTAGGTATCATTTGAAAACTCATAATTTGCTGGTCATTACTGTCCTGGTAAAATATGTGTGACAACATTGTATGTAAAGTCATAAGATTATACTGTATGACACTGCTGAGACATGTTCCAAGTTTAGAAAAGCAGGCTCAAACCAGTTCCTCAGAGACAAAAGGCAAACTGATGTCTCGGCCAGGTGCCAACATAAACAAATGGACTATCACCTGATTAAGCGGACATTCTTTGGCAGGAAGAAGGGTGTGAGTGGGAAATTTACATCTTAGCAAAGGAACAGCTGGGGCTTCCCATGCAAACAGACTTTCTGCTCCCGAACCTCAGCTGGAGATGACTTTTAAACAGGAAAATAACTATAAGAAATGAGAACAGAGGACACAAATCATCTCTCCCTTCATCCCTACTCATTGACAACACTTGAAAGACAAAGGAAGCATTACTGGATGAGGGAGAGAGATCCTGGCTGGAAGATTCAGCCAGTAAGACTGTAAGGAAAATATGATGAGAGAGAGTTTCGCTTTGAATTTGCTTAGCTTGTTAAGTTAGGTATTAGTTTGTTTTGCCCTTTATTTGTTTGTAACCAATTCTGACTTTTATGCCTCACTACTTGTAGTCACTTCAAATCTATCTTTTTGTAGTTAATAAACTTGTTTTATTGTTTTATTTACACCAGTGTGTTTGGATTGAAGTGCTTGGGAACTTCATTTGGGATAACAAGATTTGTGCATATCATTTTCTATTAATGAAATGATGGGCCAGTTATTCATTGTTTTGCAGGGATTTGGGAGGCTGTTCATTTATTGGTGAAAATGTTTTCAGATGTTCCTGAGGAAATTAGCCTGGGATTCCCAAAGAAGCCTCAGAGAGTTTCAGTCGCCTGTGAAAATCCCAGTGTGAATGCACAATATTTGCATATGCAAATTTAAAGTAATAAAATTGGTTCACACACTCTGCACAAGCAACCCTTGTGAATCCATCCGCGGTCCCCACAAATACACCAACCCTGCACACCAGAGTCCATCAGCACTTCCCAGCCACCAGCACAGGAATTCTCCTCCCCCCCCCGGGATGAATTAGAGGCCAGGCATTTAGGCCTCTGCCTAGAGCCCTGTTCCTCATAGCCTGCGATCACAGCTTTCCTTGGAACAAAGGCAGTTACTAGCCTTCATGGCTGCAAAGAAAAGCATAAACCTCACTTGAGTGTAACCAACACAGCGACGCTGCCTGAGTGTGCAGAGAGCCTGAGCCAATTGCTCTGAGATGGGGAAGCTGCCTTGACTGTGACTGATGCAGCAACACTGCCTGAGTCTGCAAAGAGCCTGAGCCTGTCACTGTGAGAGTGGTGAAGTGCTCTCTGCATCTCAGAGTGGTTTTAACATCAATATCAGATATTCAGGGGGCTCTGAGAGGACGCTGTGTGGCAGAAGAGTGCAGGGCACCAGCCCCCTGTGTACAGAGGCAGATATTTACAGGGGTTAGATCATGGAAGGGGGGAGAGAGAGCAAGCACATGCTGGGTAACATTTCCAGTTTGAATTAATTTCATGGCAGCATGGAGGTATGTCTTCCAGGCTGGAGCCCTTCAGTCAGGTTGCAGGGATCCCTTTACAGAGTTAACTGAATTACTGTACTTAGAAAACAGAAAAATAACTATAGAGTCATGCACACTACAAACAGTGCTAGCCTGATGGAGACAGCTCTGGCCTGGAACTCCAGAGAGGAGGGGTTCTTATCTGGCTCTGCCAGTGGCCTACTATGTGACCTTGGGCAAGTCGCTTCCCCGCTCTGTGCCTCAGTTTCCCCATCTGTAAAGTAACAAGAATGATACTGACTCCTTTTGTAACATGCTCAGTGGCTGTTATTATGCTACCTTCCTTCTCCTCCTGCTTCAGCCTCGTAGCGGCTTCATTTACATGGAGTTTCTGGGGGGCTTTTCTTGCTACAGCCATTGCTTGCTTACTGCCCCAGAACTCCGGCTGCTATGGCCCTGCGTGGGCGCAGCAGGGAGCGGTTCGCTGCTAGGAACAGTCTCGCCTGTCCCACTAGTTGCAGGCTAGATAACTGGGTTCTGATTTAATCATAATCAAGCCATTTTTCCAGCCTCTGTCGGAGCCTCCCCCTGGCGATCAGCGATGCCGACCAGACCCCCAGCGCTGGCAAGTCGCAGCCATTTCCCAGTTCCCACCTCCCCAGCCAGCGCCGCCGCGGGGCTCCGGGGCTCGCAGCAGCCTGACGCCTCCCCCGGTTCCCGGGAGCCAGACACCCGCGGCTCCCACCGCACGGCCCCAGTCACGCGTGGGTGGCAGCGGGGGACGGATCGAGGCCGGCCCGGCCCCGGCTCTGGCCAGGCCCAGGACCCGCGCGGCCGGGGCTCCCGCCGGCGGGCTGCGGAGAACGCGTGCGCCGTGCGCACCAGCCGGGCCGCCTTCAGGTACTGGGCCCGGGCTGGCTGGGCCCCGAGAGCGGCCGCGGCCTCCGCCTGCTGCAGCCCGGCCTGGGAGGGTGAGACGCGGGGGGCCCAGGCCCAGGGGGCTGCGGGACTCAGGGGGTGCCAGGCTGGGGTTTGGGGGGTGCCAGGCTGCGGGGTGCCAGCTGGGGGTGCCAGGCTGGGGTTTGGGGGTGCCAGGCTGCGGGGTGCTGGCTGTGCCAGGCTCAGGGGCCTATGGGTGCCAGGCTGGGATGCCAGCTGTGCTGGACTGGGGGAGCTGTGGGTCCTGGCTGGGGGGTGGATGCCAGTTTGGGGGGCTGTGCTAGCTTGGGGGTGCCAGCCCTTTGCCCTGCTTGGCTCAGCCCTTTGCCCTGCTCAGGGGGTGCTGGGCTAGGGGGGGTGCAAGTGCCGGATGGAGGGTGTGTGGGTGCTAGGCTGGGAAATGCCAGCTGTGCCAGGCTCAGCCCTCCACTGCAGGCTCGGGGGTACCCATCCCCCACCAGGCATCACCCCTTACAGCCTCCTGTCTCATTGGCCTGCATCAAACCGCCAGCCACCGGGTTCGTGATGCTGAGGGAGTGTCCCGGGCTGTCCTGATCCTTGCAGACACTGCATAGTTAGAAGCAGACTTTGAAACCCAGTGTGTCCCATTGCCCACCCAGCGCCAGGATCACTGCCTGGGGACGCCATCCCTGCATTGTCCAGGCATCGCCATGGGCTGCAGGTGCCAGAGGCTGAATTCTGTGGTCATAGAGCCAAGTCCAGAAGGGACCCTTGTGATCATCTAGTCTGACCCCCTGTATAACACAGGCCAGGGAACTGCCCCAAATAATTCCTAGAGCAGATCTGTGTTGGGCGGCATTGAGCAAGGAACGTGGAAAACACCTCCTTCCCCAGCTGCTATGTGAGTGAGTGGATGGTGCGATAGAGCCCTCCCCTGACCACTGCAGTTAGCACAGGCACAGAAAGTCCTGGCAGGGCTGCAGTGGTTAGAGCAGGGGTTCTCAAACTGGGGATCATGACCCTTCAGGGGCTCGCAAGTTTATTACATGGGGGGGCGTTGCGAGCTGGTAGCATCCACCCCCAAACCCTGCTTTGCCTCCAGCATTTATAATGGTGTTAAATGTAAAAAAAGTGTTTTTAATTTATAAGGGGGGGTCACACTCCGAGGATTGCTGTGTGAAAGGGGTCATCAATACAAAAGTTTGAGAACCACTAGGCTAGAGGTTTTGTGGAGAGATTTGAAAGATGAGCAGAGGGGACTGGTAAGTCTTCTCCTTATTCCCCTCCCATAATACAAAATAAGGCAGCAAACCCCTTTTACAGTTACCCTGCAGAACTCACCGACACATGATATTATTGCAGCAAGTAATTAGCAAGAGTTTTAAAGGGTTAAATGTCTGTTATAATGTTACCTGGGCAGGGCACAGCCATGGGGCTAAGATGACATTTTCTAAGATTTACCCAAAATGTACAGGCTAAATAATTATTATGAGAGCTTGATGAAAATGATACTCTCAGCAATTGTACTGTGAAAATGTTTGATATTGGGTCTGGGACTCGCTGCTGGCTTATCCGTGATACTCGGTGTGAAACAGATGCTCTGCTTGGCCTGAGGAGCTATAGTGCCAGAGTGTTATCGATTCACCAACACCTTCCCTTGTGATGTTAAGTGTGTGCAGGGTGCAGCCACCCAGGGAGCTCCCTGGAGGTCAGTGAAGGCCAGGTCATTGTGTGGCCCGGCCGGGGGTACTGGCGCTCTGAGGCAGGCAGAGATGTACCCGAGAGTCTGGTGCAGGGAGTCTGGGTGTCTTTTTCTCCCACTCCGCCCATCCTCAGGAACTGAACACTGAAATTGAAGCTCTCCCCATGCACCGGCGGGCTGAAATGTGAACATTGTGCAGTTGTCAGGAAATGGCTAGTGACAGTTCTGTGGCACCTGTAGTTCAGGTGTGTCCTGGGGCTGCGTTCCAGGGTGCTGGCTCCCTGGGGTGAGCGTCTTCTGTGGGGCAGCTAAAATGAGGGCCGGGGTGTTGCACTAAATTAGGGCTCTTCTCCCCCAATTTAATCTAACTCCAAAAAGCATCCATCATTTCCCTAGAGAAGAGACAATGAGCAGGGTTTAAAATGACCAAGGCTCCATTTCTGTGCCTCAGGACTAGGCTGATGGGGTGGGGCAGGATAGCTTTCCTCTGGCCCTTGTCACTGCAGGATCTGAGCCCCAGACGCACACAAGGAGCAAACAGGAAAAAGCAGGATGTCAAAGTGCCCGGGACCATGGGTGCATGTGGGGAAGAGGTGAGGGGGGGAACTGCTGCATGGAGAGCGCTTTCAAAAATCTGTCTTCAGTGGCTCCTCCTCCCAACACCCCAGCCAGAAGCATGGTTTGATCCCCATTTCACCCAGAGTACCAAGATTCAGAGTGGTTGGGAACTAACCCTACAGAACTGCCCAGTGACTGTGGGTGCCTTGGGGACCCCGGGTGGCTGAGGCAGGAGTCTCCAGGTGCCCCTGCACTGCCCGGGTGAGGTGAGGGCAGCAGGAAGGAACGCAGAATTGCCAGCCACTTCCTCGAGGGAGAGCCAGGAGAGATCACGGCTCTGACAGGTGCTGGCATCTGCACAGTGCTGCCAGACTGCCTGGGGACTGGTACCGCCCAAGGACTGGGCACCTTGCTCCCCCTCGTCTGTGACCATCTGAACCCCGAGCAGATAATCCTGCTTTTTCTGGGGCCAGTCTGCGGTGGGAGCAGCTCTGATACACCCTGTCACCTTCTTCCACCTCCCAGAGATCACATGCCTCTGGGACAAGGGACATCTCAGGCCTGGAAGGGCATCTAGCAATCCCACAATGCCCCAGGCCTGCCAGGGGACCCAACGCTTCAGCCTTAGCACCCCCTTAGCAGATGCGGGGATATGAATAGGGCCCTGAATTCACAGCACACTCTGGTCTCTGGCCCAGGCCCTGGTCCCCAATGAAGAGGTGTTCATGGATCTGCCCAGCCCAAGGGGGAGGCCACAGGAATTTATCCCAACTCCTCTATGGAGCAGGATTCTTGTGGCTGCCAGGTGCATTCTGGGATTTGGGCTCTGCTTCATGGCCCTAGGGAGTTTGCTCTGGGGGCAGCTAGGCCCGACCTGGGTCAGTGAGCGGGGGGCACAGAAGGGCTCTGCAGTGGGCTGGGCCATGCTCTCTTCACTGATCTAGGGTGACCAGATGTCCCAATTTTATAGGGACAGTCCCAATATTTCTTATATAGGCGCCTATTACCCCCCACCTCCCATCCCGATTTTTCACACTTTCTATCTGGTCACCCTACCCTGACCCCAAGCCCCTAGCACTCTGGGGACAGAGTATGTTAGGCCTGGGGCTGGTGGCTGCACTGTCTGGGCTCTGCACAGCCAGCTCCTCTTGACTCCAGTCTTGAAGGGATGAGGAGTGGCCAGTCCCATTTGGAGTCGTGCAGGAGTCGGCACTCAGCTCTCTGTCTCCAGAGCCCTCCCTCTCCTCCTGGCACTGCCGGGGCTGCCACGTGACAGAGAGTGGAACCCTTTTGTTTCATAGCTTCCCAGGCTAGAAGGGACCATGGTGATCATGTAGTCCGACCCCGTGGATAACACAGGCCAGAGACCTGGCCTGAAATAATTCCAATCATGATATAAAAATGGCCAGTGATGTCAGTCATTCCCGTGGCTCTTCTCTGACCCCTCTCCAATTTATCAGCACTTGGCTCCTGTGCCCCTTAATCCTGCGCAAGCTTAGACAGCGTAGTGACTGCAGGTGGATCTGCCAGGGAGGCCAGGAGCTGGGGTGATGGCAGCTCCCCACCCAGCCCCATAGAATGACAGGTCGACAAGCCCCAGGCTGCAGCCTTGGGTCGGGCTGTGCTCTTCACTCGGCAGCCCTGGTTTGTGTCTCTAGCCCTCCCACTGCCACCCCGCGTGTGTTGCGGCTGTGCCAGCTCCGGCAGCTGGAGCCAGTGTCGGACTCGTGGGGCAGGGCTGGTGCCACCATGTAAGTGTCTGGCCCCATTGTCAGGCAGTTAATGGATGGGCTGCAGAGCACGTGGAGTGAAAAGGGGAGTGGATGGTGCCACCTTCCCCCTCCCCTCTGCTGCCCTAGAGCAGAAGGGGTTGGAGCCTTTGGGGCTATGGGGGATGAAGCTGTGAGGGCCAGGTTGGAACCAGGAATGGGGATGGAGGGAGGCCCTGGGCCAGGTTGGAGATGGGGGCAAAGGGGCAGCAGGGTGCTAGGAACATGTCTCCCCACAGTGCGCTTTCTAACATGCTTCTGTGTCTGCCTGCAGCACTGATGGCGTCGGCCGTCCCTCCAAACTTCTCCTGGGTGGTGCCCGGCAAGCTGGCAGGGCTGGCCATGCCACGGCAGCCCGCACACTACCAGTACATGCTTGAGCATGGCATCCGGCACCTGGTGTCGCTGACCGACCGCAGCCCGCCCTACCACGACACCTGCCCTGGCATCAAGCTCCATCGCCTCCGCATCCAGGACTTCTGTGCCCCATCGCTGGAGCAGATCAAGCACTTCCTGCAGATCGTGGAGGACGCCAGCACCAAGGGCGAGGTATGGCCTGTCCGTAACCTCTCCCCGCACGCATACACACCCCTGCAGCCTGATTGGCTGTTGGTCTGAGAGCTCCATGTGGCTGTGATGCCCAGGAAGTGCCCACACTCTCCCTGTGTGCTTCCCTTCCTGCTAGAGCCCGGCAACCTACTGGGACCCAACCAGGAGTTGGGCTCGGGTCTGAAAACAACCCAACCCTTTGGGGCTCAGGTCAGCTCTTATCACCTCCCCCTGCCTATGGGGTTGGCACGACAGTGGCTGCGTGCGCTGCTCTCGCCGGCCGCCCCCTCGCCGCGCTGCGTGC